TCCTTATCAGATAAATTATCAAACCCATTAAAAACTCTTCTACTCTGTGTGTATAGTTCCTCTCTTATGTAGGTGTACAATGGACATTTCAGTTAAACATGTTCTTCATCTTCAATACAGTTTAAACAATTGAAACAAGTTCTGTCATGTACATTAATATTTTCATACCGCCCAGTTTCTAATCTAATCGGTGCCACACCGCATCTAAATTTTGCCATAGCACTTCGAAAATGAAAAGGAAGTGGTTCTTTAACATAGTGTTCAGTTACAAAATGAGACTTTATAAGTCTGTAAGATCTCAACTTATTACAACCATTACCTCTTACTGAATCAACTCTGTTTACAGTTTGCTTCCATTTCTCAATTTCAATCTGTAACAGCTTATTTTCTAAAGTGTCTACAACAGTTTTAGTACATCTATGTAAATTATCTATATTAAACTTTCCAATGTTTCTGTACATTTCCATTATACGAAATATTCCGGTTTTACATCTTGTATCAGATGACAATTTAACCCATTCAAAAACTTTTTTTATTTAATCTAGAGTCATGCATCTTTAAAAATCTACAATACTGCCTTGTAACAGCACCCCACTGTTTTACAAATATTGGTTTCCAACCCATATCTCCCAATACAGCAGCATTTGGTGTGTATTTTCCAACTCCCAAAAAATACCTCATGGCTCTATTTTGGACAGCATTTATACATGAGTAGGATTTATCACCCCATATTGGAGCTGCATAATTTATTACAGGTAGAACCATGGAGTCATAGAGCTTTGTGAATGTTGAAAAGTTAAAACCACCAAAACTTTTACATTTCGAGATTACTAAACCAAGTGCTCTACCAGCGGACATGGCTACATTTTTGGCAATTTCTGTAAAATCTAAGAATTCATTTAATACAACACCAAGATATCTATAACTATGAGTAACCTGTAGGTTTGACGGTCCAATTTTAAAAACAGAGCTTGTCTGAATACAACTATGTGGTCGAAAATGAACAATATTAGATTTAACATGAACATATCACAGCATCTCTGTAGGTTTACAATAAAACAAATAATAATAAGAAATTGAGCTAAATTCTAAATTATGTTAATATCACTGAAAGAATGCCGCAATCCTATATAATATAAAATAAGTTTCATGTTATGAATTCTGGAAACAATGTGATCCCTCGAAAGCATTAATTACCACAAAATTACATAAAAATTGCAGACTCGGTTTGATTGAATCTGTACATGAGGTAGTCAAGTTTGTAGTAAGATAGTTTTTAAAAGAAGGTTTTAATAAAAGACAGGATTTGTTATATTCTTCATATTTTCTGGTAAACTATTCAAATTCCCAATTCTTCTGCTGAAAAATAAATTCAGTGAATGTCTTCTTTCAATAATGAAATAATGAATGCAAATAATTAACTTATTTGCTCTAATGTAATACGCAATCATGTGTGGCTAAAACACGAGCAAAGTTTATTTTTGATATATGGAATATGCTATTTTAGTATAAGCTAGACAGTTTATTTAGAAATATTACGATCAAGTCTAATTTTATCTATCCGTAATGTTTGTATCTATAGAATTCGAAGGAGGACTTAAGCAAGTTCTTGGATTGTTATCTTTAATTATGATACTTAAATAAAACTGAACAAAATGTACCAATTTTTCTACAGCTAAAATTAAGACATTTATTGCATCTTTACAAAATCATGAGCTTAATATTTTCTGCAGATACAACATTATCAATATCCTCACCAGAAACAACATGTAAAATATTTAATCCACAATATTTGACTCTCACATTTAATGCAATACGATAATCATAGCAATGATATTACAATGACTGATCTCATGAGGTAAATAAATCATACAGATGGAGAGACAATTTATTTTCTTGCAAATCAGACCTGTTAAGCTTTACCAATGCTGGAAATTTCATCTGGCATGGGGTGCTATATAATGGCATGCTTAGGGTGACGTAATTTTACCGTTATAAATGAAGTTGTAATTTCATACGCTGTTGTAAGAAAATAGTAATGGGTGTCATGACCTAAGTTTCTATAGAAAATTATATCATTAAAGTAAAGATTTTAAATATAATGGAACATGGTACAAAATGCAAGACAAAATATCTGACATATTTTAGCAGGTTCGTTTCAGGACAGATATACCGATCAGTCTGCAAGATTCTAAAGCTTTGTGGGATACGTGTTAGTAGTATAGGGGACGGTTTAGGGCCACGACTGCGCAAACGCGGTGCCATATTGGATTCTATATTTAGAATAACATCATCGTTCTATTTTTAGAATGACATCATCGTTCTATATTTAGAAATTCATTTTTAATCTCCCGGAAGTATGCGGAGCTGACTCGTAGGTCCTCGGCCCTAGACGGAGAGATAAATATCATCATTTATAAAAGAAATGTGTGTAAATAAATACCTGCTTAACATTTTAATTAATAAAAGCAAATAAACTAGAATTAAAAAAATACAAATAGCTTGTTTTTTAATATGGTCAAAATAAATAATATACATTGAATAAAAATAGTACTTGTTTACTCCTCGGCGGTCCGAAACCAAATGACACAAATCATCAGTGTATTATTTCTAAATGCTCTGATCACGAGTGTAAAGTCGCCACAATGTATGGCGTGTGTTTATTTAGGGACGGAAACACTAACAATGGCCTATTGAAATGTTAAAGTTAATCCCTTTAAAGTAGCCACTTTAGTCTGGCGTATGTTTATTTTGGGACCGATATGCGGACAATGCTCCATTTAACTGTCAAAGTTTATCCGTCTAAAGTAAAAGCGGGTAAGCAATAAGCTATTGAAGTGTCAGTTTACCACTGGGGCATAATTTTAAACATATTTTGGAAAAGAAATGCCAACATGTTTTGAAAACTGATCATCACGAATGTGCAAAATTATAAAAAAAAACAACTATTATTAATGGTAACTAAAACCGAACAAAAATACAACAGAAAAAGCGTTTTTCGTCTTTTGTGCAACATTTTACGATATACATTTTGATTTTTTCGCATCAAATGATAGACCTGACAGAATGCTTCAAAATAAACCCTAGGTTCTCGATTCGATTTTTAGCCGTTTTCGAGTCTGGCCCATTATCGGTTTTTAAACCATTTTTTTTAAAGTTCATAAAACCCTTAGATTTATATGCCGTTTGAAAGATCTCTGCCAGTAGATACAGAAAATGTATTATTATATGGATCTATCTTTTACTGTTTCTGAGATAGGAATGTTTCAATATGGCAGACAAAATCATTCATGCGGAAAAACGCGTATAACTTTTTCGTTTATGAACGAAACATAGTCATGTTTGGTATCAAATTGAAGGTCTAGACGAGTACATTCAGACTCTGTCGATAGTAAAGTTCAAACTGGAAGTCAAAATCACTCATGCGTAAAAATATATATTTTGGTTACTAGAGCAACCGAATAAGATATGATTTTTAATTGTTGACTACCAATTGAAAGAACAGTTCAATACCTTTAATTTACACCCCCAATTGTCGATTCGATTTTCAACTGATACAGAGTTATTAGGTAACAGCGATTTTTAAACCCAAATTTTCAAAGTTTACAAAACCATTCAATTTATATACCGTTAAAAAGATCTCGATGAGTACATTCAGGAAATGTATAGGTTTATGGGTCTATCATTATGAGTTACTGAGATATTACAGATATAGACTTAGTGTATTTTAACCACCGATGTTAGATAAAGCGTTATTGCACTAAATTGTTTGAAAATATTCAAACGAGTGTGGCGTCCTTATTTATGGGTCGATTTTATCCATCTAGTCCCCGCCTCTCTCTGTTTAGTTCAATCATGTTGTAGTTAGACCAATGAAAATGTGCAAGAACTGTCTTATCAGTTACCAATCAGAACGCTTCTTTTACTCCATGCATTTCGCTTAACCGTAACGATTCATTCATTTTCGATTTAGATAGCGAGGAGTAAAGACTGGGGGTAAGCTTATTTTAGTTATTTTTATGATTTTTACGCATGAGTGATTTCACTTGCGGTTTGTTAGTTCCAGCTTGTAGCATTTGTCAACACATTTCGTTTGATATGCAACATGCCCATGTTATGTCCAAAAATAAGCGGAGAATCGTCATTTTACGCATGAGTGATTTTGACTTCCAGTATGAACTTTACTCTCAACAGCGTCTGAAAGTACTCTTGAATACCTTTAATTTGATACCAAGATGGATAAAATCGACCCATAAATAAGGACGCCACACTCGTTTGAATATTTTCAAACAATTTAGTGCAATAACGCTTTATCTAACATCGGTGGTTAAAATACACTAAGTCTATATCTGTAATATCTCAGTAACTCATAATGATAGACCCATAAACCTATACATTTTCTGAATCTACTCATCGAGATCTTTTTAACGGTATATAAATTGAAGGGTTTTGTAAACTTTGAAAATTTGGGTTTAAAAATCGCTGTTACGTAATAACTCTGTATCAGTTGAAAATCGAATCGACAATGGGGGGTGTAAATTAAAGGTATTGAACTGTTCTTTCAATTGGTATCAACAATTAAAAATCATATCTTATTCGGTTGCTCTAGTAACCAATATATATATGTTTTTACGCATGAGTGATTTTGACTTCCAGTATGAACTTTACTATCGACAGCGTCTGAATGTACTCGTCAAGACCTTCAATTTGATACCAAACATGACTATGTGTCGTTCATAAACGAAAAAGTTATACGCGTTTTTCCGCATGAGTGATTTTGTCTGCCATATTGAAACTCTCCTATCTCAGAAACAGTAAAAGATAGATCCATATAATAATACATTTTCTGTATCTACTGGCAGAGATCTTTCAAACGGCATATAAATCTAAGGGTTTTATGAATTTTAAAAAAAAATGGTTTAAAAACCGATAATGGGCCATATCTCGAAAACGGCTAAAAATCGAATCGAGAACTTGGGGTTTATTTTGAAGCATCCCAGCAAACATTACATATAGGACCGATGTCGGCCCGATATCATCTTCAATGTCGGCCCGATATCGGCATCCGAAGTCGGCTCGACATCGGATGTGCAACCAGGCTCAAAGTCGGGCCGATATCGGATGCCGATATCGGGTACCGACTTACAGCCGATTTGTTACCTTCATTCATAATAAGCTTTTTTATTTCTTACAGCATATTGGTTTGCTTTCCTTAACGTATAACAGAACATATATTTATTTTGCAATACCTTTTATTACATCAGCAAAATTAAAAATTCATATACACAATATATTTTATAATTTACACATACATACTTCAATGTTTAAAACCCATGTATGTTTAACTTACGATATTTCCTTGCAAACACACATAAAAATTTAAACATTAATCTTTACATGTTTCCTATAAAGATCAGACAAAATTAAATTGTTTTAACAAAAATACTTAAGTCATGTGACTGGCAAATACAACCTTGCTATGTATATACTACTTTTTGTTTAGATAAAATAAGCTCAATGTCATTTTTCTTACTTGTTCCTTTGCTTTTTTACATTCTGTAGACTTAAAATCTGTCTAGAAAGTGCCAAGCTGTTATCTCTGATATATTTAGTAACTGTATTTTAGATTGTGCACATTGATTCATACTCCAGTTATTACGAGTTTGAGTAAAACTTTAAAAGAATAGCTGACTTTTTTCACATTATCATGTTGAATAGTTTAACAGCATTTTGTAATTTGTACACGAGTTAATAATGTCAAGTGTCAATTGTGCATGGTTCCTCCAGGAGTCCCAATATATATGAACTTCTTCAATTGTTTAGTTTTTTACAGTTCTTTATTTCCACTATGTCTTGATCATTTGCCAGATGAGCTATTTCCTGCTATTGAATTTCAGCTCGATGACTGTTGCCCTCTTTTTCACTAGATTCTGGAGCAAAAATTGAAAAGAAACCTTATAAGTATATGTGTGTGTGTGTGTTACAAGCTACAAATATTGTCTTGATCTATATTTAACACATATATAAAAAGAATATGTATTAATTAAACAGTTTATTTAAACATTTATGTTAATAAATCAGTAAAAAAAAAACAATGAAACTTTACATTATAACTCTAAAAGCTCAAGCTGAATAATTATTTTTTCATTTTCATAGAATTTTTTGTCTACTTACTCATTCTTAGTATTGCTTAGGACTCTGTATTGCATCAATTGGTCATCTTTAGCTTCTAAAATGACATTTTCTTTCTCCAAAACTAGCTATTTCAGTTGTCAGCACTCTGAGTCAGGTATGTTTGTCATGTCACAGACAGATGATTTACCTGAAATGAATCATTAATGTTTCAAACATTAAGAAAATATATCAACATAATAATATATTCACATTTTTATTACTAAAGGACTATAATAAGAAAAGTGTCCTTTCAAAAGGCAAGCAGGCACTATCTATTTCTTTTAGAGTAATCAACGTTTCATTATTTCTGATTAAAACTTTCATTTGACATCTCTATCATAATTATAACTTTTAAGAAAAATAAAAAGAAAATTATAATTTGATATTTTTTCTCTCTCAGCCGCTAAATTTCAGGCAACAATTTAAAAACGGTCGCGAAAATGTATTGCAAAATAATTTTCGGCGAGATAACTATGAAATTCCCAAACCTACGTGCAAAATATCAATGACGCCGAATACTACAACAATGAATTTATTCAAAAGCATAAGTAATTTATAAATTTACCAGTAGTATTTGAGAAAAAATCCACTCTTTTTAGTTTTAGCGCAAACTTCTTCTGATGGCAGGTGGGCTAGAAAAATACCACGTTGTGCAAATCACTTATAGACTAAATCGGCAACAGACATGGAGCCGATATAGCACCGAAGTATTTTTTATGAAAACGACTTAATTACTCTTTACAAAAGCATCGATTTCTTGCTGAAATGAATTTGAGAAGAATATACTAAAAAAACTCATTTAATTGAATAACAGGAAATAAATGTATATTGGACCTATATCGGACCGATATCATCCTGTCTTTAACAAGTTTGTCTATATCGGATATATATCGGTTCGATGGCGGAAAGCCGACTTCGATATTCCGACATTTAGCCGATATCGGCCCGATATAGGTATGTTTGCTGGGATTCTGTCAGGTCTATCATTTGATGCGAAAAAATCAAAATGTATATGGTAAAATGTTGCACAAAAGTCGAAAAACGCTTTTTCTGTTGTATTTTTGTTCGGTTTTAGTTACCATTAATAACAGTTGTTTTTTATAATTTTGCACATTCGTGTTGATCAGTTTTCAAAACATGTTGGCATTTCTTTTCCAAAAAATGTTTAAAATTATGCCCCAGTGGTAAACTGACACTTCAATAGCTTATTGCTTACCCGCTTTTACTTTAGACGGATAAACTTTGACAGTTAAATGGAGCATTGTCCGCATATCCGTCCCTAAATAAACATACGCCAGACCAAGTGGCTACTTTAAAGGGATTAACTTTAACATTTCAATAGGCCATTGTTAGTGTTTCCGTCCCTAAATAAACACACGCCATACATTGTGGCGACTTTACACTCGTGATCAGAGCATTTAGAAATAATACACTGATGATTTGTGTCATTTGGTTTCGGACCGCCGAGGAGTAAACAAGTACTATTTTTATTCAATGTATATTATTTATTTTGACCATATTAAAAAACATAAGCTATTTGTATTTTTTTTTAATTCTAGTTTATTTGCTTTTATTAATTAAAATGTTAAGCAGGTATTTATTTACATACATTTCTTTTATAAATGAGGATATTTATCTCTCCGTCTTGGGCCGAGGACCTGACCTTCAATGTCCGCGATTCAAGCCCTAAGATCGTGTATACTTCCGGGAGATTAAAAATGAATTTCTAAATATAGAACGATGATGTCATTCTAAAAATAGAACGATGATGTTATTCTAAATATAGAATCCAATATGGCGCCGCGCATGGGCAGTCGAGGCCCTAAACCGTCCCCTATACTACTCGTGTTTTTTGTTACTTTATTATAAAACAAGAAGTATCTTAAAGTAGATACTCGGCCGAAGTCAAACTTGTTAACTTGCATATTAAGATAAGCTACTACTAACCATGCTTTCCGCAAACAGAACATTTATTTGTCCTCAATAGTATTATTTCAGTTCATTTTTACCCGCAACGTTTTTCCCCAATAATTGTCATCTTAGATTTAAACAATATTACTGACATTATTTGATTTAATCAAAATGGAATTTGACTTGAATAGGAATTTATAATAAAACAAAGATTAAGTAGATATTGTACAATAATTCCACGGAGAATTTTGCAACTGTAAATTAGTCGAAATTTCGTTTCAATCGTCTTATTCCCGGTTCGAAAATAGAATATAACTACTAGAACAGCTTAGAGGAGAAACCCAATCGAACGCAAAAGTATCAAAAATGTGATCTGTCATAATTTAGAAACATCTAGAAAATATCATTTTTGTGTTCTTATATTTATTCTGACTTGTATCTTGTGCCATCGCGCAGTCGAACAGGCCTCTGCTTATCACGGAAGCTCTTCTAAAGTATCAATCGAACAGGCTATTAGTGTTAAAATAACCAATGAAAATTCTGCCTATATCCATTTCTTTCCTGTTAATTAAAGCGTAAGTCAAGGTGAAATCAGACGGCCTTTGGTCGAAATATTTAATTTAGCGTAATAGGATGGGTATTTACGGTAATCTAAGTTAACAGTTAAGAGTTACTATCTTTCTTTCTTATAGCATGGTATATACAATATTATTCTCAACCAATCAAATTGTTGCAGTGAATACTGAATTGTATAAATAAGCTGACTTTGGCAATGTTAGCTAGGTTAGGTACTGTACCTCATCTCAATTAAGCATTCGCTTTTTTATATTGTGCATATTTTGTGTAATAATGCACTTGATCGTCCACAAGGATAAGACACTGATCTGATATTATCCTCTTTTGCTACGTTATGACATTGAATGAAAACTTGGGTATAAAAAAAACACTGAAAGGGCGTAGAAGATTGTATTGTATAACTAATACCTTTAACTGTAGAGGTATCAGGTTATGAATACTAAATGTGGACATTTTCTTTTTAATTATGTACCTTTTTGATAGGGGCGGCGCCGAAAAAGTGATCAATTTTTTTAACAACATTTCTCAAACAAAAACAAGTGTTGGCATTTTTACCATTTGAGCTTCAAAAAGGGGGGGGGGGGGTAAAAAGGCATGTATATGAGGGAACGATAACCGAGGTTTTAAAATCTTAATGACTGTTTATCCTTTATCAAAAATTCAAACTATAATAATGTGCTCTTACACTTCAGTACGAGTATATAAAAATTGAAAGGGAACGAGAAGTGTTATAGAAGGGGACATTCTCGGTTGTCAGTGAACAGTTTACGTTTTTAATATACTTTCTTTTGTTTTCTTTAACATTATACTATTCTTACCAATTATATTTTACCTCCTCTCCATATGAAACCTCAGCATTGCATTCTTCGACGTGACCTTCACCTCTCTTTATCGTTCGGTCTACGGGTGCTTTGGTAAAGCGTATATGGTAAGACTTTTGTCCCTGGAAAATAATGAGTAAAAATTGGAATAGCATTTACATTCATAAATTTAATTGTCAACAAATCAAATTTTACAAATTGATCTAAGTAAAATAAGAATAAAATCGCTTTTGATATATTTTTCAAAATTTAACAGGTACCTCTTGTACTTATCATTTTCACAATCAAATGTTAATTGACAGACAAAAACGAAATTAGGCTAGATATATTACGTTGTCATTAACATAGTAAAAGGGAAGCTTTATATGCGAAGTATTCCATGTAAGTAAATTTGAATGAAGACAAAAATGAAAGAAAAATGAATACATTTATATAGCATAGACTAATATTTTAAGTGGCACATTGAGAAATCTCTATTTAAAGTATTCATAGCTTAAGAAATGCCATACAGAATGAAACGGATTGCCCAGTTAGACAAACGGCGGTGCTGGAAATATCTATAGAACCTGCCAAACGCAAGTAAGACGAACACATGTATGAACAATCTTCATTACATTAACATAGCATACAAATACGAATTAATCGAATCAAAGTTGTTTTTTCTTAAACAAAAACATTAAAAGATTGATAAAAGATTGAACAAGATATTCTTACATCGCTTTGTGAACAATCTTCTCCTTGGAAACCTTTAGGGCAGTAACATGTCGCTTCAAAACCTGTTTTCATGCACGTTCCGCCATTTTGACAGATATTTGCCTCACACTTTTGTCCGCGAATACATCTTAAAATGTATTAAATTTACATTTAAACAGACAAAGATAGAGTATCTTGGACAAGGTATCATGGATTTACAACATTATTTAATAGTCTGGTCAAGGGTGATTTTAAGAACTTCTAAATTTCTTTTTAATCTACGAGTATATTGTATTTGGTATGTTTATAAATATGATTTGCTTCCGTAAAGTTCGGATATAATAAAAAGCAGCAATGTGTCAAGTTTTCTATTATCCTAGTCATTCCATAAACTATATCAACTTCTATTTCAAACTTTTTGTAAAATTGAAATAAGCCAAACTAACTTTTTCTCAAAGTCCTGGCGAATGCACATCTTCTTTTCATTGCATCTGCATTCTGTAATTATAGTAAAACACAGTTAAGTACATAGTTTTCATAGATAAAACATAACATATCGATAACTATGTAATGGATACAGTACGAGTTTTTCTTCGAAAGTGTCTTGTTACAGACGTAAGAAGACAGTTTGCTAGGATAAACAACAAATTGTCCGAGGCGAAGCCACATTGGTACTGTAAATAGGTTACAATGAGGCAAAACATGCAAATATTAAGGTTAATCATCGCCAAGATTTTTATTTTAATTCGCACGAGGATTAAAGTATGAGAAAGTATAAGCATGAGAAAGATTGAACGTTGAATGGCGCGATGAGTTTATTGCGAGAATGCTAAATCTTGCTACTTTATCTATAAAAGTACAGAAAGGCGGGGCAAGCCTATAGGAAGGAAATATAACATACCAAGAAGAGTCCTTTAAGTGGCCCAAGCAAGACACCATACATTTCAACTGTATTAAACCCACTAGGAAAGTAACGGTAATTTAAGTGTCTTCTTACAGACGTAAGAAGACACTTTTGAATAGCTCTGCTGGGGGTTTAGTCGTATAAGAAAAGAATACAAATCAATTAGGTTCAACAGAACATAAACATATTTACAGAAGATATTCTTAGCAGAACAGGTTAGTACTTAAATAACAGCTAGTATACTGCACACAAATATTGCAGCAAATTGTGTTACCTGTATATGGAACGAATGAAATATTTGCTTGAAATCCCTTAAGGGCAAATGACACGTCTGTTTTGAATTCAAGGCGAAGAGAGTTACCGCGTGTTAGGAAAGTTCGCCCATGTAGACTTTCACCGCAGTATGGTCCACCAAGCAAAGCTGAGTCTGTAGAATTAATGATAAAATCGGGTCATCAAAATAATTCCGTTGAAGACGACTTATACATAGGAAATAGATTCGTATTTTTTAATTTTTCAAGCGAAATACAGAGTATTTATAGAGAAATTAAAGTGATATTGAACTGTTTGTTTTGCAATATTGAAATAGCGTTAATTTAGACGGTTTTTGCTCGCACTGTTTGGCGCTGCATTAGGACGTAACGTTAACAACATTGTAAACGTCACTACAGCAGTGATAACTGCATTAAGGATATTGGTGTTCGGATTAATTTTTCTAAGGCCAAATTATATCACTTTTAGATAGTTGTGAGAGAAAAGTTGTTTCTTATTTATCAGTATTTTTTTTCAAATAATGACGTCGTCAATGTGTGGGTTTGCAAATACGAAGGGAGAAAATAAGAACAGCTAGTGTATCTGCTGTGAAAAATATTACTCTTCCGGCCGTCTTAGCTTATATAAAGAAAATCTTCGATGGTGTTAGTATAAGTATTAATACAAACTATGCATCTGATCAATTATGTACTGCTTATCTCACTTCATTCTTGTCATGTTTTCTTTGATTTATAGTAATCAGTTTCAGAATATGCAAAACTTTGAAACTACAATTTAAATACCATTTCTTT